GGCTGTGTGGGTTGGTCCCCATCGCTGTTGCTGTTGCTGTCCGTGTGGGTGAGTCGCTGAACAATGTCTGTCTTGTCCAGCGCGTCCATCGCCCCCCAGCAGCTGAGCGCGTGGTAGAGCTGTGGCTTCCTCACCTTGAGCATCAACACCAGATCGCCCCGGCACATCGACATCAACACATCCTCGTCCAGCCCCTCTCGCTGTGGCTGTGGCTGTGGCTTGTCAGGCTCGGGCTTGTGGGCCTCTGTGCTGGGCATTGGGTGTTGGTCGGTGTGTGGCTGTGGCTGTGGCTGTGGTGGGATAGGCTGTGTCTCGCTGGCCTTGTTGTCCTTGTTGGCCTGTGCGTCTCTGTCAGTGTCTGCGTCATGTGCGCCACGACGGTTGCTGTTGTTGTCATTGTGTGGGGGAGGCGGCGGGATGTCGTTGAGGCCCAGATCGAGCTCGTCAGGTGAGGAGCCGCCCTTCTGTGTGGCCTCGTCATCGTCATCAGCCTGCTGTTGGCGTGGGGGCGGCGAGTTGGCGTTGGTTGGTGGGTGGGGCGGCTGGATGGGCTCTGCCGCTGACTTGGCCTGGCTCTCCTTCGCAACTGCATGGCAACAAAGACCCACACACATACATGGCATGGCAAAGAGCGAGACACCGGTGTGTGTGTGCTCATCCGACTAACGTTGATGTGAGTGTTTGCTGTCCTTCTTGGCGTCGTGTGGTTTGCATTGTGTCTGTCTGATGTGTCTGTCGAGTGCCTCTCGAGATCTGAACAGGTTGGTGGCGTCGCAGTGGGGACACATCATGTACGACAGCTGTGTTGACGGGTCGAACACGGGAATGAACGGACGGCCTTGCTTGTCGTAGGCGACACCCTTCTGCACCTGCACACACACACTCATGTGTATCTGTCTGTCTCAATGCCATCTGTTGACCCACAACGCAAACTCCCATGACTTGCCATGTGACTGTGGAGTTTGCGATAGATTTTGGGCTTCGACTTGGGGACGGCAGCGGCGTGTGTGTGGCCCTCCTGCTGCTGTGACTGCTGTGGCTGTTGCGATGAGATGATGCCGTGTGTGTGGATCTGAGGCCGCATCATGCTCTGCACCCGCTGCTTCTGGGGGATCGGGACACACACACACACAAATAAACAAATAAACAAATAAAGACATACGTGGAGACACCATCCCTCTCTCTCTGTGTGTGCTTACATCCATCAGCCGCTGCTTGAGTGCCTCTGCACAACACACACACACACACACACACAGAGAGAGAGAGAGAGAGAGACACGATACATTTCCATTCCTCCCTCCTTGCTTGCCGTGAATGTGTGTGTGTGTCTGCTTGTGTGCTTACGCATGCCAGTCTTGGGCGGGGGTAGCTGCTGTGGCTGTGTCTGTGAGAGTGTCTGCGACGCCATGTGCAGCTGGCTGTCCTCCATCATTGCCTGTTGACTGGCTTGCTGGCTCATCTGCATCTGCATCGCCATGGTGGCTGCTGCCGCCGCC